GGCTTTATACTCTATATACTGTGCTTATTCAACCAACATATCTTGAATTTCTGCTCCAGCCATGTATGTAGATCTTTGTGGGTCAGGCATGTGAAGAGATTCTAAAGAACTTTACACATGGAAAAGATTTTGTGGTGTTTTGTTTCTTCTATTATATATAACAAATTATTGGCTACTAAAGCCCATTTTGGCCTCAGTAATCTACATTTTTTATTTAAAGTATAGAAGGTTCTTGGGGCGCCTGGGTGGCGCAGTCGGTTAAGCGTCCGGCTTCAGCCAGGTCACGATCTCGCGGTCCGTGAGTTTGAGCCCCGCGTCAGGCTCTGGGCTGAGAGTCATGCTCTGTCTCTCTCTGTCCCAAAAATAAATAAAAACATTGGAAAAAAAAAAAAAGTATAGAAGGTTCTTAAGATTTTTTTGCTAGTTGAATAGATGGTATAAACAAATTCATACAATTTTGGGAGAACTATTGTAACATCTTCGGTGACTGTGGCTCATTAAAAAAGCAATAAAATTGAGTTGTCTTTTTTTTTTTTTTAATGTTTATTTTTGAGAGAGAAAGAGAGTGTGGGCGGGTGGAGGGGCAGAGAGAGAGGGAGACACAGAATCCAAAGCAGACTCCCGGCTGTGAGCTTTCAGCAGAGAGCCCAACGTGGGGCTAGAACTCACGAACCATGAGGTCATGACCTGAGCCAAAGTTGGACGCTTAACCAACTGAGCCACCCAGGCGCCCCAAGCTGTCTTATTTAAAGACTGATATATAATAGAAAATGTTGTCTGATAAAAGGCTGATATATAACAGGAAATGTTACTTATATACTCTGCAGAAAGTATCATAAACAATGGAAATTATGCTATATGAAATCTTTTAAAATACAGCATATAGTGTAGTAGGTAATCCCTTAATTTGTAAATGTCCCTTTAATAAACACTTCTGTGGCTTCTAGCCCAGATATATATATTTTTATGTTTTATTTATTTTTGAAAGAGACACAGAGACTGAACGTGAGTGGAGAAGGGGCAGAGAGAGAGGGAGACACAGAATCCAAAGCTGAGCTGTCAGCCCAGAGCCTGACGCGGGGCTCGAACTCACAATCTGTGAGATCATGACCTGAGCTGAAGTCAGATGGTCAACCGATTGAGCCACCCAGGCACCCCAGCCCAGGTATTCGTTAATTGTCATTTCTGGTAAAAAGTTTAACATACATAGTGCATTGTTAAGGCGAATATGGATGTCTGGAGATTGTAATATAAGGAATACTGCCTTGGTTGCTTATTTCCTTGATTCATTACAAAGGAAACAGGTTCTGCTAAGGAAGAGAGGAGACCAAGGAATCTTGCAACTAAAATGAAGTCATTACAGTTCATGTTAGAACACTCTTTTTTTTTTTTTTTTACGTTTATTTATTTTTGAGACAGAGAGAGACAGAGCATGAACGGGGGAGGGGCAGAGAGAGAGGGAGACACAGAATCGGACGCAGGCTCCAGGCTCCGAGCCATCAGCCCGGAGCCCGACGCGGGGCTTGAACTCACGGACCGCGAGATCGTGACCTGAGCTGAAGTCGGATGCTCAACCGACTGAGCCACCCAGGCGCCCCCATGTTAGAACACTCTTAATCTGTAGTTTGTTTGTTTTTTTTTTAATTTTTTTTAATGTTTATTTGTTTTTGAGACAGAGAGAGACAGAGCATGAATGGGGGAGGGTCAGAGAGAGAGGGAGACACAGAATCTGAAACAGGCTCCAGGCTCTGAGCTATCAGCACAGAGCCTGACACGGGGCTCGAACTCACGGACGGCGAGATCATGACCTGAGCTGAAGTCGGATGCTTAACCTACTGAGCCATCCAGGTACCCCTATAGTTTTTATAGACATTTCATATAGGTTGAATTTTGACATCGAACATTACTATATCCCTTTGACTTTAAAATAGTGAAATTTCCCTCCCTCTCTCTCTCTCATTTTTTGGACTTGAGGTAAGTATTGAGTTAATCATCCTCAATTCTTGGCACATTTTCATCAACACAGAGTGTGTGTGATAACTGCGGTCTGAGGGCCCTTCTGTGCTCTACAGTATGTGCTGTCTATACCCACCTTCCCCATTACCTTGTTTTTCTTCCCACTAGACAGTTTTAAACCATATTCTACTGGTTATCTTTGTTTTAAATACATGCAGCAATTTCTCAATAATTGAAGGAAAATGTCTCTTTGTCAGTTTATGGTTATAATGACTTACCTTTGTATATTTGCTTTTTCAGGCCTTCCTACTATTTTTATCTAATGCCCCAGTTTCAATTAGGGGTATACTGTGAGGCTGTGATTCAGTCCTAACAGCGTGGACATTGTGTTAACTGTTTCCTGCCTCACATTTTTTTATGGGCATGGCTGATTTACAGACTGTAATATCGCTTCCACTTTAATGATTGCTTCTTTCTGGTATTTTTTCCCCCACATTACAGTCAATCATGTTATTAGCTTAAGTAGAAACATCACTGGCGCCTAGCTTAGGCATCTGGTGACCACCATTTGTTACTTAAATTCTAAATACGTTTCCACATACCGTCTACCCTGCTCTCATGGTTGAGAGGGAAAGAAGAAATGTTAGCAGTTTTCATACAAGGAAAAGAAACCAACAGGAGTAGTTTGTTCTCATAAGAAAGGAGGAGTAGCAAATGAGTTTTACATCCCTCCCCTGTATTGTTGACATTATTGAAAGGTAAGGCCGTAAATGAGGAGGAAGTTATAGGGATTCTGGGCCTAACGCAGAAGCATATGCCAAGTCCCCGTTACAGCTGGTTTTGTGTGGTATCAAGAAATTAATACAGGAAATGGGCATGTCGACGGACCTGGTCAGCAGGAAGCAGTGGATTTTTTGCCACCTTTGGGCATGATGAGTTTCAAGCAAGTGTATGCTGACTGAACAAATACCAGGCATGTTATGCAATTGTTTCAGAAGTTGTCTGTAGTAAAAACAAAACAAAACAAAACACTGTTCTAGTGGAGAAAATGAGTAACTTGCATACAAGAGAAATAAAACAACAACAACAAAACAATTGCTAGTTACAGCTTGACTAATGTTTGAAATGCTGATGAAGTGTTCTATGAATTGCTACCTCATATATGTCATGCCCAAGGTGGACTTTGCAAAAGAAGTAAACAAAGACTGATGATTGTTCTATTCTGCTGAATGCATCTTGGACGGAAAAGGTGAGACTACTTGTCATTGGCAAGTAGTTTACCTTCAGTGCTTTGGAAATGCTCATTTGCTCCCCTATGATTACCAAGCCAGTACATATACCTATAGGATGAGACATTTATTTAATGAATGAGAAATGCTGGCAAGAGAATGAAAGGAGCAAAATACAATATCCTCCTGCTGATAAACAGTCAGTTGCTCTGCCTACAACACACTCCTATGCTTAGATCATGCATGTGTTGAGTTTTTCCCATTGAACTGCACAGCCATTCTATACCCATAAGATGGGGGTTAATTTTCACAGTGAAAGCACACTGCTGAAACAACTCTTTCTAAATCTGGATGATGAAGGGAAAACTGTGAAAATAAAATGAAGCAAGCTATTGGCATGATTGCTGAGACCTGGTGGTCTGTAGAGCCATCCACATAGTGAAATTTTGGGAATTTTGGGAGACTCATCTCCCAGACCAGTTTGATTTTAAAGACTTTGTGGCTAGAGATAGCAGTTGAACTATGAACTATTTTCCAAGAGTTAGCAAATCCTAAAATTGATATATGAGTGCTAAGTAATATCAAAGTGGAACCAGAAAGTGATGTTGAATATCGTGACAACAATGAAAACCATCATCCAGTGGATGAAGGAATAGGAAACAGCGAACATTTCAGAAGCCCTAGCAAGTATAGAAAGCGTTGAGAAGTCCTTTCCCTTCAAGTAGGTGTTCCTGATGAGGTGTTTATGCAATTAAGTGGTATAGATGAACTAACCACTTCAACAAAGTCAGTTTTGAAAAAACTGAACTAATTTTCTCCATAACTAATAAAGTTGCAAAAATATTGCCTTTATAAAGTCTGTAAAATGGAAAACTTAAAGAATACTTGTATGAACAAAGCCCCAGTGAGTGTTTAAATGTGAATGTTTGACTCTTGTTTCATAACATTTACTGTATGGTAGGGTTACAGCATTTCCCCAGAACATTTTATTACATTGTCATTAATTTCCACCTTGGGAAGCTTTCTTTCCCTACCTCTTTCCTTCCAACCCTCCCACACCTCTCCCCAGCATTAGGTGGCAGGAATGATAAGAATAAGCTTTTGCCTAATAGTACCTAGAAGAGAAAAATATTCACAAAATGTTGACACTCCAGCTGGCAGAACCATAAACCAAAAGACACATTGGGATTTAATAGGATAGAGTTAGTGTAATTAAGAGGAAAATGGATATTCACCTTGAGATAGCAGAGCAGTCCTTCCCAAAAGTCACTGACAGGCAAATGAGGAGTGAAAATAGCTACTTACCCTTACTGCTTGGTACTCATGCTTAGGTCGGTCCCCCAGAAGAAGGCTGATGAGCATGGGCCAGGGGTGAAGCTGTAGGAGAAATTGAAAAATGCCACTGTTCTTTCAAAGCTGTTGGAAAGTGAAGAAGAGTGAAAATGGGAGGAAATAAAGAAGGGTATGGATAATCCACTGGCCCCTGCTACCCTTAGCTTCCTCTTTATATAACAGGATACAATGTAATTCAGACCAAGAACAATTCTCCAGGCTTCTGTGAAAGTAGGAACACAACTTTTGCCCACCTGACTTGTTCTAAGAGATCAAAAATAACAATTTTATTAAATAAAATTTAGAGCACCATTTACAAAGTACATGTTACATGAAGTAATAAAATAATTGGCAATCACTCTTGGTATGTATCTGGACTGGAATTCAAAAAAAGGAATGCATGTAGAATGCTTTTTTTTTTTTTTTTAAAGAACATTATCAGAAAAACTGTGAAGAAAAAAAAGTCTCTTATTTTACTTCTAGGTAATAAATCATCATTAGTCAAGATGTCTTCAGCACCAGAGTCTCCCGGCTTTAAAAAGGAACCACCCAAAGAGAAAGACTTTAAAAACCCAGGGCTCAGAGGAGTCCGCACGACAACCTTATTTCGGGCTGTGAATCCAGAGCTCTTCATTAAACCCGTAAGAAATATACCTAGGATAAGACATTATGTTCAGTTTAACTAGGCTATCAGAAATAGAAAGTGTTTATTTTCCTGTCACATTTGATCGTGTCATGAAAATTTTATGTTGACTAATAAGGCCTCTCTGATAAAAGTAGGTGAAAGGGAAATCTTAAATGCTATTTCTCTATACATATAAAACTAATTATTTTGAGGTATTTGAGAACTTTAACAGAATACAGTTGCACTTTGATAGATCAACTTCTCAAATTCCTCTTTAATATTTTAGTTTAATAGTTGTACCAATTTGAAAGAAATTTTTATTGTTTGACCAGGTACTATTACATAAATAAGACCTTTCATTGAAATAAAACAAAATGAAAATCTGATCATTTTTATAGACTACAATTCTAGCCTTTATTGTATTTTTACCTAAGGGATATTGCAAGTATGAAAAATTTCAAAACATACACTAGTACACTGTAAGGGAGTTAGCTAATCATTTATATTTTTGTTGCAAATTACTGAATATATTTGACCAGTTTTATTTTAAAATAAATATAAACTTTATTTTTAAATTAATGTAAGTAAAATCAAATTATTATATATTTAAATGGATTTGGTTAGAATTTTATTTATTCATTCATTTATTTTAAAGAAATCCCATAGACTGAGCATTTGATTTTAATTTTAATTTTAATTTTATTTTAGAGACAGAGAGCATGAGTAGAGGAGAGGGTCAGAGGGAGAGAGAGAGAATCTTAAACAGGCTCCACACTGACCATGGAGCCTGATACAGGGCTTGATCCCACAACCCAGGGATCATGACCTGAACCGAAATCAAGAATCGGACGCTCAACCAACTGAGCTACCCAGGCACCCTTTGGTTAGCATTTTAGTAAATCTATTTTTAAAATGTTTGTTTATATATTTTGACAGAGAGAGAGAGGCAGAAAGAGACAGAGAGACAGAGAATTCCAAGCAGGGTCCATGCTGTCAGCACAAGCCCCTTGGTTAGAATTTTAATAACATAGTTGCCAGTGTAAACTGTTTTTTTTTCATTTTTTTTTTTCAACGTTTATTTATTTTTGGGACAGAGAGAGACAGAGCATGAACAGGGGAGGGGCAGAGAGAGAGGGAGACACAGAATCGGAAACAGGCTCCAGGCTCTGAGCCATCAGCCCAGAGCCCGACGCGGGGCTCAAACTCACGGACCGCGAGATCGTGACCCGGCTGAAGTCGGACGCTTAACCGACTGCGCCACCCAGGCGCCCCAAAACTGTTTTAAAGTTAAATAGGTCAATTTAACAAGCAAGTAATTAAATCAAGGTAGAATGTTTTAAAACCTTTGAACTAATATGTTGTTTTAATTGCCAAGTGCATGTCAAGATTTATAGATTTAAACTGCTTTTAGCTTTTGGCCTTGTTATATGTCCATCCAGGTTGAAAAGTTTGACCTTTATTCTTTTGATGATTAAGATTTGAAATAGTAGTAATACAGCAAGTATTACAGAAGCAGAAAATGCTAATTGAAACTTGTATCACTACCACACACTCACACTGACCTAAGAAAGGTTCATTTGGGGAGTATGAACACACAGGAAGATCTGAGTTATAGTATAGACAAAACCAAACATTTCTATGGAATTGTAAACATCTTTCCTATACTTAAATGCTTTTTTTTCCCCCAGTGTCAAAGTTATATTGCTTAGTCTCTCAGGGTCTTGGACTTTTCAGCAGTAAATCAAACTTAGTATAGAACAGCATAGTATCTGCTCCAGTCACACAGTTCCTTAAGGTTATACAGTAGGTACCCAGAGGAGAGTGTACGTGTTGTCATTCTTGCCGCACTTAATATATGACATGAAAATTGAAGGCTTTTTGCAAGTTATCCATGAACTCAGGCAAGAAGAATAGCATGTTATACTTCATTCCTCACTTCTTAATAAGATTAGCTAATTGAAGGTTTGCCAGTAGGGAAACTTGAGCTCAGGAAAGTTGAGCAACTTCTCCATGTCACACAGGTAAAAGTGAAAACTTGATCACTAGACCCATTTCTGTGTCTCATTTCCCTCGCCCCTCTCCCAACCACCACCTTTCTGAAGATGCAGGCCTGAGAGGCTGTTGGCAGGAGACAGACTGGAGAGGAGAAGCAAGAGCCTTCTATAATCTCTGAATTATCAGGAGTTGAGTTAATTGAATAAAGAACTGGGTAAATTGTTATAATGGAAAATATCACCATAGGAATGCTAGTATGGCAGTAAAGACTTGTATGTCAGGAGGAAAGTACAACAGATATTTGGGTCTCCTCAAATGATTAAGTCTTAATGAGGATTTATAATTTCTTTTCTTTAACAGAACAAACCTGTAATGGCTTTTGGACTGATAACCCTTTCCCTTTGCGTGGCTTATATTGGTTATCTACATGCATCCCAGGAGAATACAAAGGATCTCTACGAAGCTATTGATAGTGAGGGACACAGTTATATGAGGAGGAAAACATCTAAATGGGATTAACAGTGCTGGATGCTGCAGACGGAGCTTTGCTAAAGGCCCTGAAATCTTCTAATGGAAGACTTTGTGAGTGCACAGTATCATGCTCCTTGTTCTAGAATGTGTTAATGAGGAAGGAAGGTAGCAGTTGTGAACGGGCCACTAGACTACATCTCATCCTGCAGCCCTTACCCCATTCTTTGTTCACAGCAAGAGCTTCTCAATATTTTTCTTTCATGAAGTCCTTGTATGAAAGTGCCATTAAGAATGGAAGTTGTTTTTGTGAATTAACTTCTATATAATAAAAATATAGTGCCGGTGCTGTTAAATTTGTATGGTATTTTTAATATTTAAGATGAGTTGTGCATTTGCAACTGTTTTAAGGGTTTAGTTTTGTTTTGCTGTTTAGAAAGGCATTCATTTTTTCCTGGCATAGAACTTATGTTTATGACAAAAAAATAATTGTAATTATTATGAAGCATACAGTCAACATTCAAGACAAATAATTTTTTTAATGTTTATTTCTGAGAGAAAAAGAGACAGTGTACGAGTGGGGGAGGGCAGAGAGAGAGACACACAGAATCCAAAGCAGACTCCAGGCCCTGAGCTGTCAGCACAGAGTGTGATGTGGGACTTGAACCCACAAACTATGAGATCATGACCTGAGCCGGAGTCAGATGCTTAACCAACTGAGCCACCCCGGCGCCCCCAAGACAAATAATTTTTATAGAGTCACAGATGGCTTGTATATTTTGGCGTTCCATTTCAGCTACTTTGGTCCAGAATTTTATTTCATTTGAAAAGGTAGTCCCACTCAACTACTAAAATAAATAAATGAGAGAATAACCCAATTGGAGTTTTTCTTTGGGAAAAAAAAAAGTATATTATACTGAGCTATGATGTTTTTATTTGACTACAACCAAATGTTACCTATTTTAGATTTTGTAAATTAATGTTACAATGATATTACAAACATAAAACCAAATTTTCTTATGGTTATTTCAGAACTAGGACTATCCAACAAATAAGAAAAGAAGGTCTTCTTACTCTCTTGGGTTTACCGCATATAATTTAGATTTCTCTTACAAGGGTTTTGGACCTGTAGCATGTGTAGATTTTTATCTGTTTTCCAAATCACTATAATTGGGGCTCAGTAATAAATCTCATCTATGAAATTTTGTTTCATTTATTATTGCCAAATAACAATTACTGTATAAGCAGAGTTTATCACCATAGTGTGAATTTTTTTTAATTTTTTTATGTTTATTTATTTCTGAGAGAGACAGAGACAGAGTGCAAGTGAAGGAGGGGCAGAGAGAGAGGGAGACACAGAATCCAAAGCAGGCTCCAGGCTCTGAGCTGTCAGCACAGGCACAGAGCCTGTTGCAGGGCTTGAACTCACAAACGGTGGGATCATGACCTGAGCTGAAGTCAGACGCCTAACTGACTGAGCCACCCAGGTGCCCCACCATAGTGTGAATTTTTAATTTCTAATACTTCATTGTGGTTTGTAAGCTATATGAAAATGTAATTATGTCTTGTCTGTAGATATTAAAGAGCTTAAATAACTGAGTTATCTGTACGCAACTAAATCAGAACTTTATTCCTGAGCCCTAAATATTTCTTTGCTATGTCTCTCTATATAGTACACTTCATATAGTTTAAAATGCACTTAAGTAGTGTAAAATGCCTTTTAATTTAAAGTATTATATTTTGCTTTTGGTTTCCCTGTGTACTTTGGCTGTTAAAAAATTAGAATTCTTCTGTTTTCAACTATGCATTTAATATTACACCATCATTTTTTAGAATTTCTCTGTTATTCAGAATAAGTTGTTATTTGTTGGGGGAGATACTGGTTAGGTGAACTATCAAGAGACCATCACAGCACAGAAGGACAGCAGGAAATACAGCAGCCTTCAGCCATGTGACATCTATGTATGGGAATGAACCAAGGTAGCAGTGGATTCAGGGAGGCAGGTGCACAGCTGTGAAAAATACTGGGAGCGAAGAATCACACTGAATTTTAGGAACAAGTAACCTATTATACTTATTACAGGATAGTTACAAGTTACAGCACAGGCTTTGTGTGTGCAGAGAGTCAAAGGCTGCCTGGCTGTGTATTGATGTTCTCATTCATTCTCTGAGGGAAAAATGCCACTTGGACATTGCGTCTAAGAAAGGAATGGTCCAGGCGAGAGATGTACAGCGTTTTGGAATCAGGGCTCAAGTGGTTAAAGGAATGTCTTTCATTGTGAGAATCTGGTTGAGACTGGGCAAAACTCAGAAACTTAGTAGATTAGGTCTTGAAGCAAGTCTCGATAAGTAAAATATTAATAAGTGGTAAGTGACCTTTTTGCCCAGGGGAGTAATCCATTCTGTTAGGAGAGCTATTTGCCCAGAGGAGCAAGCTGTTCAATTGATAAATTGGTTTTCAAGAATTTCCTGAATAAACTGTGAAGTTATTTATTGGTGTAGCCTTATCCTCCATAGGGTAACCAATCTTTTCCAATTTGTTAGGCATGGAGGTGGTTCTTGGGATGCAGGACTACACATTTTAAAACAAGGACAACACATTAGTTAACTGCAATTTTAAAAACCAGGCTTATTAATTTTGAGTGCTAATGGAAAGTAACTTTTCCTTTAAGATACTGTGATGTTTCCCAGTTTTATTGCCATGGCACCAAAACATCACGTTTATAAAAATGTGAATTTATTGGGGCACCTGGATGACTCAGTCGGTTAAGCATCTAACTTTGGCTCAGGTCAAGATCTCACAGCTCATAAGTTCGAGCCCCATGTTGGGCTCCATGCTGACAGCTCAGAGCCTGGAGCCTGCTTCAGATTCTGTCTCCCTCTCTGCCCCTCCCTTGCTCATGCTTAGTCTCTCTCTCAAAAATAAATAAACATTAAAAAATTTAATTAAAATATATTAATTTATTAATTTTTCTCCTTTGCTGGGCTAAAAGAAATCAACTCTTTAAATAAAACATTTAATTTTTTTTAATCTTTATTTATTTTTGAAGGAGAGAGATAGTGTGACTGGCGGAGAGACAGGGAGACAGAATCCGAAGCAGGCTCCAGGCTCTGAGCTGTCAGCACAGAGCCCAACATGGGGCTCGAACTCGCAAACTGTGAGATCATGACCTGAGCCAAAGTCGGACACTTAATGACAGAGCCACCCTGGTGCCCCTTTAAATAAACCATTTAGGGGCGCCTGGGTGGCGCAGTCGGTTAAGCGTCCGACTTCAGCCAGGTCACGATCTCGCGGTCCGTGAGTTCGAGCCCCGCATCGGGCTCTGGGCTGATGGCTCAGAGCCTGGAGCCTGTTTCCGATTCTGTGTCTCCCTCTCTCTCTGCCCCTCCCCCGTTCATGCTCTGTCTCTCTCTGTCCCAAAAATAAATAAACGTTGAAAAAAAAAATTTAAAAAAAATAATAAACCATTTAAAAGAAAATGTAGGTTGAAAAATGATTCCCCCTGTTCTACCCCACCCCCAAAGATGTTCAGATCCTAATTCCTAGATCCTGTGATTATGTTACCTTATATGACAGAAGGGACTTTGCAGATATGATCAAGTTAGGGATTTTGAGATGGGAAAATTACCCTTTATTATCCAGATGAGCCTGATATAATCTTAATCCTTATTAAGAAGGAGGCTGAAGATCAGGGGAAGAAGCATAGAGGTCCATGCACACAGGGGGAGAAAAGCCTACATCATGTGAGGCATGAGCCAAGGAATTCAGGTGGCCTCTAGAAGGTAAAAAAGGCAAGGAAACAGACTCTCCTGTAAAGCCTCCAGAAAGAACCAGCCCTGCTGACACCTTAATTTTAGCCTCATAAGACTCATTTTGAACCTCTGACCTCCAGAACTGCAAGAGAGTAAATGGTGTTGTTTTCAATCACTAAATGTGTGGTGATTTGTTACAGCAGCAATAGGAAACTAGTACAGAGAGTATCTGGGAAATGAATGGCTCTACCATGCTCCCTTTCCTCATTATTTCTAGTTGCTTTTATGAGCAAAGCTTGTCTTACCTAGCAACAGTTGCTAAGTAAGTTAACAGTTTAGTGCTAAAGTCTGGAAGAGAGCCACTGCTTAAATCTTCCCAAATCCAGTGCCCATACCTTATGTGGCAAAGGCTTTTAGAACCATTCTTTACCATTAAGCACATAACCACTACCTAATCATGGCGAATCATTTCATCCTTACCAGCCTCTAACATCGTCCTAAAACCTTGATCCTCTTCTAGCTTCCTTAAACTTCCAGATTTTCTTAAAACTTTTATTTCTGATCTTAAGAGTACTTTAACTGCACATAGTAAAAGACATCTTAATTATGATCCGAAATCCGAATTACACGAATTTTGTTTGCTGTGCTGTTTGTAATAAAATAATTCCACCAGCCCCTTTGGGGGAAACCTTCAAACGGATCCATGAATACAAGCCATTTAAGACACGCTTTTACACTCACAAAGATATACTGGGTAAGTAAATGCTGTTTTCCTTTGTTCTAATATTTGATAGCATTATGTGCTATTCTTTCTGCTATATTGACTTTTATCAGCTCTTCTGATCAAAGTTGCTTGTCTTGCAGGGGTGTCTGTTTGGCATGAAAAGAATATGGGTTGAAATCCAGCTTCTCTGCTTACCAGTTGTGTACCTTAGACAGTACACTTAGCCTCTCAGTGTGTTTCCTTATAGAGATGTTGGGAGTCCTATATTAAGTAGGGATATTAATACCTCTCTAGCAGGTTGGTTATGAGGCTTTAATGAAATATTTGTTGGCATATAATAGTAAACAGGAGTTCTATTTGCCCTGGCCCATACTTTGGCAACTTCCTTACACATAGTAGAGGAAATACCTCCAAGTAACACCTTAATAAATAGTGAAGCTATAACCTTTACTAGTAGCTGGTGACATAAACATAGGTAGCATGGAGATAACCTGAGAATATTTACTATACAAGCAAATCAGACTGTAATTACAGGTTTCCTTCTCTCCTTATCCCCATCATCAGAGTTTGTAGTCTGACTTTGAGCCTTAGAAATGTTTTCCTAAGGACTCTCCAGATACTTCTCTGATCCTCTCTTCCTTTATACCTGGTAAACTACTGATTTAATTTCACTCTTGATCTTTGAAAATATGAGAAACTAAAGAATGGAGAGTGTTTTGAAAAAACTACAGTACAGGGAGAGGTCGAATTGGAATCATCCTCTAAAAACATCAATACCCAAACTGACTTTAACTTCTAGTAAATGTTTAGTGTGACTTATTAATTACAATCTCTGATATGATTTGGCTTTTTACACCCAGGCCAGTGGATACCCATTCT